ATGGCCAACAGACATATGAAAAGATGCTCAACTTCACTAGCTATTAGGGAAATGCAAATCAAAACCACATAGAGATACCACCTCACACCTGTTAGAACAGCTATTATCAACAAGACAACTAATAACAAGTGTTAGAGAGATTGTGGGTGAAAAGAAAACCCCTCATACACTGCTGGTGGGAATGTAAATTGGTACAGCCACTATGGAAAACAGTATGAAAAAATTAAGAATAGAATACCAAATGACCCAGCAATCTCTCTTCTGGGTATCTTCTCAAAAATTTTGAAAACATTTTTCTGTAGAGACCCCTATGTTCACTGCAGCATTATTCACAGTGTTCAAGACATGGAAACCAAAGTACCCTCTGATAGATGATTAGATGAAAAAGATGTGGTACATATATACAACGAAATATTACTCGGCCATAAGAAAAGATAAAATGCTGCCATTTGTGACAACATGGATGGATCTTGCAACTATCATACTAAGTGAAGTAAGTCGGAAAGAAAAAGTCAAGAACCACATGATTTCATTCATACGTGGGATATAAAACTGAAAGCAATAAATAAGTAAGACAAACAAAAACTCACATAGACAACAGTTTAGTGGTCACCAGAGGGAAAGTTGGGAGGGAAGAGGTTGAAAAGGGTAAAGGGGGTCAAATATACAGTGACTGAGATTTGACTTTGGGTGATAAACACACAATGCATGTACAGATGATGTATTATAGAATTGTATACTTGAAACCTATATAATTTTATTAACCAATGTCACGTCAATAAATTTAATTAAAAAATACCCATCTAAGCTATAATAGATTAGTATTTCTACAGAAATGCCTTTAATTTAATGTTATATTTTAATTATGTCCTTATCTTCTTGCAAGGATGCAATAAAGAAATGATTATATAGGGAATAATCATCTAAATATTAACTACATTATCCATTGAATAATTTTAAAAGTCCTCATATAAAAATCCTGTGACCAATTTCTTTTAGAATTCACTATCAAGAAATATTCTTTTTATACCAACTGACAACGTGTTCATTCGTCAGATAATAAGAAGTATATATCCAGTGCTTCTTTGCCTTGAATACTAGAAAGCTCAAACTAAAATTCATGCTCGATTATGAGACTTACATTAACTCGAATACTCAAATATATTTATGACTTCATTGTTCCTTCTAGTTTTTATCTTTTATATCTTTATCAGTTCTATTATACGTGACATTTACTGGAAGCTACTTTAAATCTACTCTGAAAGAAAGATACACATTTAAAAAATTTGCTGGAACTTTGTCAGTACTTCAGATAAAAAGGCCACATATTATTTCCTCTTGTGTCCCTTAACACTTCTTTTATCCTTAAATTTATCCTTAAATTTTGCTTGTAGCATGGCACACCGAGGGATTTATCTATGAATGGTTTATATTACTATTTGAAGCACTGATATACAATGGAAGAGGGATTCATTATTTCCACAGTTATTTACTAAGCAATTACCATGTGCCAGACACTGTTCTGAAGCCAGTGATACTGTGATAAACTCTTAAGAAGAGGGTCCTGGGACTTCTATTTTAGTGGGAGGGGACAAATAATAAACACATAAGCAAATAAGATACACATAAGCAAATGATAAGATAAGCAAATAAACACATAAGCAACTAAACGAGAGAGTGATAAAGGTCTTGAAGAAATCAACTAATAACCAGGTGAAGGTTGGAAAGGATACCTTAAGATAACTATCATTCATAAAAAGATCAGAATTGTCCATTTGAAAGAGATACTGCCTATATTTGTCCCCAATTCAATCACTAGGGGCACTTTTTTGTTTCCCCATGCTAGGGAGTCTTGTTTAAGTATGTAGAAGATGTTGAATATTGTGACACTACTAGACACTACTAATTAATTATGTTATTACACTCATTATACAAACAACAGAACAGTCTGTTGACTTTCACTAAGGTATTCTAGTTTAATCCCTTAAGTTTCCTCTGTATTTTCCTAGATTCTCTTCATTATAACCTGTCTTCCAAAAGGTAAGTGAGTTGTAGGTGAAAAGATAAATGCGCATCACCAGCTAGGATAGGTACTTATGTATTAGTTTTCCTGACTTGATTTAGATAGGTGTGATGTCATTGAGGCCATTGTTTGCTTTTTTTCATGCAGTTGCAGCATCCTCTGGTGGGCACTAATTTATTTAATAGCTTTTGAGAAAAGTTTTTCATTTTTGATAGTTTTTATAGCATTGAGCACAGGAATTTGCATTATTTTCATTAAATTATCAACTTCACAAAGCACTGTTAGTGCTTATCTTTTATTTAAACAAACATCTGAGAGATAATGCAATTATAAAAGTACAAATAATACTGACACTACTACTAATAAATGGTAATACATTATTCTGAAAAGTCTTCACTTTGAATTTTAAGAAGAAAACAAATTTCTCATGCAATTTAAATTTTATAATTGTGCCCATTCTTTTGACTTCTACTCCATGTACATTTATTGGCCATTCAGAAAAAAATTAAAAAGCCAACAGGAAAAGGTAAAATGAGTTAATTAAATATAATTTTTATCCAAAGGGACAAAAATTTGTTTCTGAGTGATGCAAAATTGATAAAATAAAGTAGTACTATAATTCATAACATAAATACCAAAGATCCTTGGTTCTTATAGGATGCTTTACAACCCAGTCACATAAATAGATACTGCTAATGCCTAACAGAACATATAAGAAAAAGCTGGAGATTAGTGTTATTTCTGAAATCTAATTCCCTTCTAATTATACATGTTGCTGCTTCCCAAGGAGACTTATAATAAGTGAAAGGGTTTCAAGAGAAAAAAGACAAAATCATGACAATGGGATTAACTGGAAATCCCAAGCCTGGAGATTCCAATATCAGAGATAGGGAATCTTTGTCAGGAGAGTAAATTACACATCTGTCACATCAAGAATGCTTGTTATCAGAACTTAATGGATTTGTAAGCTAAGGTAAGTATAAAGAAGAAGGAGAATCAAGTGCTTATAAACCAAGAATGGGACTCTGAAGTTACCAAGTTCCTATCACAGAAGCAATTATAGCTGCTGTCTGGGCACAGAAAGTAAAACTTCAAGCATAAGTTAAGTGCTTAGCCAGCGGAGGAGAGAGTCATTAGGGCATTCTCATGCTATTTTAAGATCTCTTGAATGGCTGATACTGTTTAGCAATTTCAAGTTTGTAAATCTCTCCTATCTTAAAGTAACACTTTATCTAAGATTGGTATTCTGATTGCCATCTAAAATGTGACTGTCTACTTTCCTGAAGTTTCCATGGTAAATTGTTTACTGAATTGACTAAACTCCACTTTTACAACACTATGAAATATTATCACTGTAAGTACTGCTACTTTCTGCCATTCCTTTCTAATTCTAATAATAAACTCCAAAATGAAATGAGCGATTATGTTATTTAAGTTCATTATACATTCTGAACCGGTCAAACAAGATGATAAATTAATTTAATCTCCTAAACATCGGCAAAAGAACAAAAGGGAAAAATAAAGTAGACTAATCTTTCCACAACAATCTGAAACTTCCAAGCCTTAGAGAATCATATCAATAAAATTAACACACCTTATTACAAGCAACCTTATAGGTATGCCTATATACATTGAATGTTTTATATAATTCCATTCACGAAACTACGTATGAGAAAGATTTCCTTACATTCAGTGTTGTGATATAGTTTTTATAAATGCTCTCTTGACCCAGTTTTGAGGCCCTGACTAAAGCCTGGTCATTTTCCTTTCTTGAGCAGCCAATTAAGTTCATACCCCCAACTGCCTCCCTTATAGGGCTCTCGCATTCCAGGCTATTGTACGCTCACCATCTAATTGCCCCAAAGCCAAGTTGCAGACAACCAAAAACAATCTCTATGTCCCATAGAGATTATTAGAAAATCTCTATGAGATTTTCCCACTGAAATTATTCAAACCAGCCAATCTTAAGCCTGCTTACCCTGCCCCACCTCATTCTTTCCCAAATAAACCAAAATAGAGGTACCTGCCCACTGTTTCCTTCTCCCTCTACCTCTTGACTAAACCTGATGCTCTCTCAGAGTGGACCTGAGTGGCATGTTGTTTCTCTCCAGGGAGCTGTGAGTATAGCAAACTGTAAAACTCTGGTTCTCTTTTAATCTTCATCTGGCCTCACCACACCTCATTTAAGGTAATATGATTAAAACAATCATCAATAATAGTTGTCAGTAAGATCTATAGTCCTATCATATACAACTATTTTCTGTTACTTTGGAGCTACCACAAATCAGCAAAAGCTACTGGTATGTTACCTCAAGTACAATTTTATTACAGAACAGTTCCAATGATGCATTTATTCAGATAATATGCTGGATGTGAAACTTACCAATTGATATATTATTATCACAAAATTCTATTCTTAACATTAATTTTTTTAAAAAGAATGACAATAAAGAAAAACCTTTCAAATAATTTAAACTAGCTTTTGAAGGTATTATTATAAAGGAGTAACCATGTTGGACAAGCAAAGCAACAAGGAAGGACTAACTGAAAAAAGTAAGCACAAATGAAGAATAAACACTTTCCTTGCTTGCTACCATTTCTTGCAATGCACCAAAAACTTTTGGCATTGAGAGATGACCTCCAAAGTATGGAGGTTTATTGTTACATATGGAGGTTATGCAAAATTTGACCTATATGCAAGAAAACTTGACACATCATATACATTAAGCCAGAAAATGTTAAACAATTTGATGAATGGAACTGCCAGCATAGTTTGAATGCTTGCTTTTTATTTTATCTGGTTATCCTGTGATTCTCATCAGGAAGTGTAATAGTTAATTAGCTGGGCTAGTTGTTGGGGTTACTTTTTAAATAGGCTATTTTCACAACTATACTATTATTTATACTAGAGTAAATCTAGGGGTAGCAGAGCAAAAATAGTTTAAGAAACACAAAGCAGGACTGGCGACATACTCACTAATGGATTTCACTTTGCCTTTGTAGATGTTCTCTATATTAGTCCCAAAGAAGAGCTCCGAAATCATTACGCCTTGAAAGAGGTTTTCACTATTTTCTTAATGCTTATATTAATAATTTCCCAATGCCATTCTACCTTATCTTAGATGTAAAATAAATCCAAGATTAACAGTAAACTTGGGTTTACTTCCTACTAAGAGTAATAAGTGTCTACAACTAGACTAAGTTTTCATCATAAAATAGTTTCAGGCAAAGAAAAAATAAAATTTCTGTTTTCTGCATACTTATTTCTTCTTCCCTTCTTTCACCATTTTTTCAGTAGATAATTTTTTCATCTACTTTGAGCTAGCCTCTAAAGCCTCCAGCCTTGTCGTTACATTCTGACTGCTAGTTTTTGTCACCTACCATAACCGTAAAATAAATTTGTGTTGTTTTAAGATGCTAAGTTCGTAGCAGTAGAAAAGTAACACATTTCATATATATGCTTGATTATCTCAAGATATGTCCACGTTGTCACAAATGACAGTATTTCATCTTTCTTTATATACTGAAAATGACATTATTCAAAGAAATTGAAGACACAAAGAAATGGAAAGGTATTCCATGTTCATGAATTGGAAGAATCAACATAGTTAAAATGGCCATGTTACGCAAACTATATATATATGTTTAATGCAATCCCCATCAAAATCCCAATGGCATTTTTTTAAAGAAATAGAACAAAGAATGCCTATTCTTAAGCGCCTTTCCTTGAAGGAAATTCCAGAGCTCTCACTGCTGGAAGATTCTCTCTTCTATTAGATTGTAAACTCTTTCAGAGCTAGGTACAGAATGCCCTTAATTCACTTCCTATTTACTGTGCTCAAGGAAAACAAAACAAAAACAAACCCTTAAGATTCATGGAGAGGCAACTGGGTATGGCATCTGCAAAGGCAAAGTTAACAGAAAGGGGCTTTGCAATGCAATTAAAAATCAGTAGAGACAGATGTTCTTTTAACATAAAAATACCTAAAAATTATGCTAGTAAGAATATAAATATAGTATGCATGCCAGATGAGGACTATTGATAGATTAATCTTCACAGTGAGAAATATCTGATTTTTATATCCAGTAGCAATAAAAAACATATAAACAAAGAGAACGGGAAGAAGAGGCTTGATGTTTACTCCTCTCTTTATTCAGCAGAGGAAACAAGAAAGAGAGATGATAATAACAAGGCATCATTGTATGACTGAGGCATGATTTCCTAGACATAGATTCAGATTAGAGGAAAGGCTATAACCTGGAGTAGAGGGTATGAGGGGGAGTTGGGGGTGTCTTAGGGTGTGAGGAAAGTGACCCAGGAGTTAAAATGTGCCAGCCACAGGGAGAGGTGTGAAGGTACTTTAAGGCAGTGGTCCCCAACCTTGTTGGCACCAAGGGTAGGTGCTCCTATGAGAGTCTAATGCCTGATCTGAGGTGGACCTGAGGTGGTGATGCTAGCACTGGGGAGTGGCTATAAATACAGATGAAGCTTCGCTAGCTCGCCATTCGCTCACCTCCTGCTGTGCGGCCTGGTTCATAAGAGGCCATGATCCATACTAGTCCATGGCCCAGGGGTTAGGTCCCCCTTTTTAAGGAAGAGAAAGGTCTCTGTGGGGGTGTTTTTCAATAGTAGAGGAAATGGCCAAAAGCAGTGGTACTCTAGACATGCTTTGTTCAAGGGGAGATGAATTTAGGGGTACCTTGCTCAACTTTTTCTCTCTCATGTACATTCTGCATGATTTGGATTTTATCATTGTGAAACTGGAGTACAGGACTAATTGAACCTTGTTTTGGCTTCCTTATTTGTTCAATCAGAAGAGAAGGGAGCATTTTCACTCCTTTTTCCAATTGGTATAAGACACCTTTTAAGTAGGTAACAGGAAAAAAAGAAAATCTCTCCTAGAGCTCATCTGGCCTCTCAAACAGACCTACTTATTCTGCAAATATTCTTCCATATTATCAAATTTATATGGGTAAAGAGGAGAATGCCAGCTCATGTGTAGTGGAAACTTCATTATGTTTAATGTAGTGAAAGAGAAATAGTCATAAGCATTCTACAGTTATTTAAAATATTTTTTCAACAAAGAAATAATCCTTTGCCAGAAAGACTTGTTACAACCTCCCTATGAGTTTCCCTTATACTCTGCTTAAATTTTTATTTAAAGGAGTCCCTGTTATGTGCACCACTGTCACACACATAACTGAGAGAAGTTTTGAGGAGGGGGAAGTGTACTTTGATCCTTCATTTCTCACTCAAGGCATGTGTGGAAGTCTCAGTCCATATTCCTTTATGACAGTTCTTTTCAGAAACTTTACCAAACTGGGATATATTTCAATGCAATGATAAAAGCCTAAATAATGAAAATTGTAGAACTTTTTAACTGTCAAACTATATCCTATGAAATTATTGGACAAATATATAGTTCGTAGACTACTTGTTCAAATCTTTGAGTATTAAGAAATAACATAAAAAAAATATTAAGTGTATATCCACACAAGGGAAAAACATTGTGATCTAAAGCTTACCAACAGTTATTGTACCTTTATATGTGGAACATTACTTTACTTAAGGTACTTGAAAAAACAGGCTTATGAAAGTTCAATTTTGATAATGAACATTCCACCTCATTAAAAATATGTAAACTTAACTATTAGTTTTCTCATTTTGTTTATCTGGTGTAAGATTTCTTGGCCTTCAAGTTTTAAATTCATTAAGAAAAATTATGCTTTACATTTATGAAAAATGTTTGTGTTTCCCCCAAATGCTGCAATTCTTTAGATTTACATATATATATGAAGATAACAGTTTTTCTAGCATTAAGTAATATATTCAACTTGTTAGAAAACTGTCATGAATTTTCTAATAAATGTAGTTATCACTCTTTTCAATATATTTGCATTATTTGAATGTGATGTAATAACTCAAATGTAATGTTGACTACAAATCATATTTCTAGATTTACATTTTGCTTCTTTTCCAGATTATTTTTTGCTTTAGAAACCTGTCTCTTTTGTGATTCATTCCTGCCACCAGCAATTTAAATATATCATATACAACTTTTGATTCTTTTGTGACATTTTCCATTTGGCCATAAGAACCCATTATTTTGTGGATCTGAGTGAAATTCTTTCAAAATGTTCTAAAGATTCAATTATATGACCATATTTAAATCTCATATTGTTTGCCAATTTAAATGAACATAGCTTTTCTTAAATAAATTCTAAAGCTGCTGCTCTATTTTTGCTTTTAAAAACAAATTGAATAACTTCTAAAATCTGTTATTTACTTAATTCCAAAGGTTTCTTCAGTTACCTTTTGTATATTTGTTCTATTACAATCAAACCTACATCTTCTGTAACTTGGTGACTCTTGAACTTTGGTTTATTGTTTTGTTCCACAGAGGTTAGGACGGATGAAAGACTTTTACTTTCCCTTTTGGGTATTTTGGTAAATGAATTTTCTGAGAATACTTCCCAAGCATTTCTACCATTTAGTAAACTACTTAAAAATCATAATCCTCCATGACATACTTGAAATATAATGCCTTGGGGTTTCTTTTTCTTTTTTTTTCCTGTTTAACACCTAAAACATTTTTTAAATGCTGTGATTTAAAGAGATCATATGGTTTCCATGTTCTGAAACTCTGATGAATTATCTTTGAATTAAGAAATGTTAACATATAACTGAAAATATATCTACTACATTTTTAGTGTGAAATGATTGTTTTCATTGTCATGAGGAGAGTTGGTTGAACTTAATACTGAGATGCTTACCTAGTCTTTTTTATTCCCATGAGCTTTTCTCAATGAATTTACCATCATTGTGTCATATCACATTGTTAATATTTATTAAAGAATGTTGGACTGGTATTCTTTTCAACTGACTTCTTTTTTTGTTAATTTAGAATTCCTTTATAATATGTAATTTGAAACGTGTTTCTTCATAATTCTTATAATTATCAACAATATCATTTTTAAAGCAGAACTCTAAAGAACTTATCACTATTAAAATAGAACTGAGTTTCTTTTTTCTTATCTTTTTAAAATAGATAGTTTTATAATATCATGGATATTCTTTTGTTTACCTTACAAAATGATTCTTAAAATATTTCTAAATAAAAGTTTTTGTTCCCAATTCTTGCCTTTGGTTCATATTTTTTTTGTTGTTGAAACTCCTGCTTTTCTAACATCAATAAAATTGTTTTCCTTTCTGACACTTTAATAATTAAATTCTTTGAAGTGTGGCCTGCTCTAAATTTGAAGATGGTAGCTGCCCAATATAAGTAGTTTAGTTCAACACTGATGTTGATTCCCTTTTACTTGACCTGAAAAGCATAATAATATATAACCGTAACATAATAAAGCAGATGTTTTAAATTACTTTGTTATTCAATATTAAATTATTAATTATAATTAAAATTAATTTTGTAAAATTCTATGTATTAGTCAAAATGCCATTGGAAAAAATCTGCTGAAGAAAGTAGTAAAAATGTTCACCATAAAATGAAGCTGCCTTATGAAAATCTGATTCCAGTAGCTTAATATATAGATAGGAAAGCTTTCTCTGACTCACGGACAGGGTGCATTAAATGCTTCTATAAAACCTTAGGTTTACCTTTATGAGTATCAATATATTTTATTGTTTAATTTTTGGTTTATACCCAGCCTGAATTGTAAAAGCCTAAGAGTAGGTCTTTCTTTTTAATCTTTATGTTCCCCGGTTTGTCACAGTGCTTCATACATTTTTGTCGAAGGATAAACTACACTGTCTTTGTTCTCATTATGGTTTAGTAGGGAGACAAATAATTCTAGGGGAAGGAGAAGGGTTTTAAGGAATCAGATTAGAAATATCTTGCAGGTAACATGACAGCTAAACATCCAATTAGCATGAATAGATGTAGACTAGAGGAAATAAGCATTTGTTCCACAAATAGAGTGGCATCACAATCAAATATATATATTTTTTAATTTATTTTTTTTGGTGACATTGGTTAACAAAACTCAGTAAATTTCATGTGTACAAAATCAAATATTACTGTATGCT